TCAAATGTCATCGCTTTCTATGTTCAATATCTATTATGCGTATGATCCTGTGAGAGATAAGTTCAATTACTTCAGTCAAGATTACTTTAGAAAAGTAAAAATCCCTTCGAGAAGATCGTTCTTCTATCCACTCAATAGAGATGCCGAGGCAAAGTTATCGTTACGTAGGCAGCTACTTTTCCACTTATTGAATAACGGCAAACTTTGGGTTTGATTGTTTCGTCAAAGGACAGTTTTTTTTAGGAAAATAAGAATTTTTCATAGTTTGACCATATGTTTTCGGAGTAAGCTTTACTTGACCGAGAAATTAAGTACAGGATTTTGAACAACTAATTATAGATTCATTATTCGTCAACCTATAAAACCTTGATATCCTCAAAAAAGCCATATATTGACGCAAGAATCAAACCTAAAATTTTTCGTTTTTCATTTGCTAGTAACTTATGTAAGGCCAATTTTTGACCGGTACTGGAAAAATCAACCCAAGTCCAGAGCGAATCCTATCAATTACAATTCCGACTAACTCTAAGTCTAGCACTGACATTGATGCATCTCTATTTGAAATTTCTGAACACTAACAGATTGATTTCAATCGAAATTCAATCATCATTTCAATCTTGGATAGCGATTTTCAATAATTAGGGTGGGGTGTGGGTGAGTGTGAGTGTTAGCCTCCTCTTTGTGTTCATTTACACCCACATCCACACCTAACCCACACCCATACCTACACCCTCAAATATGAACGGTAATTTCCTGATGAACAGAGCTGTGTTTAGTTCAATAAGAAAAAAAAAGAATAAGAAATGTTAATTTTCACTGAAATAGAAATACATCGAAAAGATGATTTCGAATGCATAAAAAGTGTTGTCTAATAAGTGATAACAATTTTTTTTCAGTTATTTGTTAACATTCTTTGTCTATTCTTTGTTTTATTCTACAAATAGTCAAATGAAAAAATAGAAAATATCAAGCACTTGTAATAAACAAATGACTTGTTTTTATAGGAAATCTTCAAAGTGATAACGAGTTCGAACTTTCTAGATGGATAGTATTGAACTACTTTTTCTCTTCTACGTTTAATACAAAAGAGAATGAAATACTTTCCGTTTTTGTTTGCTTAATGTGACTTGACAAATATCTTACATTTGAAATTTACTTTTTATCACCAACACAGAAGTACTCAAATTTCAGGAGGTCTTTTCGAAGTCATTTTGAACAGTGTGATCTTAAAGAAGATAAAAATTTAGACAAAGTGATGGGTCATCACATTTTTTATGGTCTTTCTCTTTTTTAAACGGTTTTTGGGGTACTTCTAACTTTTTAAAGAAATGTTATATAAAATGCGCCAAGTCGAGATTTTGTTAAGAATTTCAAAGTCTTTAAGATGATCCTATATTAACAAAATAGGGTCGACAAGATCTTCTAAGACCTAAAACCTTCTATGCTCAGTTTCTTCGACATCTTGTTATCATACTTCATTTATAAAATCTTGATATCGTTCGAATGTATCATATAGAAAACTCCACTGATGAACAAAAATTACTATTTGAATTTGAGTTAGGTCGTTAACATCACAGGAAAAAAAATATTCCAAATACATTATTGTTCAACTTTTTTTCATCACCTTACATGTACGAATAAAATATTCTTTATGTTAATTGAATGGATCATTTAGAAAATCTAAGCATGATCATTGGAAATAGAAACAAAGTAATTAACTGATAATGTTAATTTAACTCGTGACACGATATTTCCGCGCGCGACATTTCCGCGCCTACACTTTCGCGCCGACATTTCCGCGCACGACAGTTGCGCGCACGGCACTTCCGCGCACGACAATTCCGCGCAGCGACATTTCCGCGCGGCGACATTTTCGCGCACGACACCACCGCGCGCGACACTTCCGCGCTAAATGAAGTTTTCTGTTTTTCCTGCATTAGGTTAATGCAACTTCTAAACTTCCATGAATAGATCTGTGAATCTTGGCTCCAGCACGGAATGTGTGTGCATGCGGAGCATGCGTAGGGCAATCCAGTAGAAGTTCGGAACTGATGAACAGCTTGTAAAAGTGATCTGATCTGATCTTTTTCGACTGTTCAGCTCAGATGTAATGAACTGTTCGAAGAGTTCTTCCGACCTTAGGGAAACTGCTCAAGTAGTTCTGTTCAGATCAACACCTCACTGAGGAAGTCCTCTGATGGACCTCATCTGTTCTGAAAGATAGATTGTTTTTTATGGAAACTAGCATGCTGACATTGACATCTGGGATGCTAGAGACATCACGCAGGTTGCTAGTAGTATTATCTGGCATGCTAGAAGCATTACTAGAGTGTTGGAAGCCTCACCTGGGTTACTATAGACATAACCTCGGATACCACAGGTACCACTTGGGTTGTTCGCAGCATCGTAAGTGATGCTCCTCGGTTTCTATGTGACGCTTCTAGCATCACATATAATATAATCAGCATCTCGGGTGATGCGCTTAGCAGCCTAGATGATGTCTCTAGCATCATAATGATGCTTCTATCATTCCAGGTAATATCTCTATGAACTCAGGCGATGCATCTAGCATTTCAATGATGCTACTAGCATCTTATGTAATGCTACTGGCATGCTAGGTAATGCCTCTGGAATTCCAGGTATCGGTGCTGCTGTGGGTGTGGACTTGGGCTGTAAAGTGCGCGTGTATGTTGGTGTCGGTGTGCGCTCCTATGTGGATCTGGGGTTCGGCTATGATTTCTTGGGTGAATTTGAGTGTTCGGTTGTGGTTGTTGGTATTAGGGTTCCTGTTGCCTTCCTTCTACTCCCACACTCACACCGAAACTCTGCACCCGCACCAACAGAACAGTTAATAAAATTTTAGAAGATGTGTTAACTTAATGCAGGAAAACAGAAAACTTCATTTAGCGCGGAAGTGTCGCGCACGGTGGTGTTGTGTGCGGAAATGTCGTTGCGCGAAATTGTCGTGCGCGGAAGTGTCGTGCGCGGTAGTGTCGGCGCGGTAGTGTCGGCGCGCAAATGTCACGCGTGGAAATATCGTGGAACCATTTAACTTTATATATCATCATGTTAATGTTTCTTTGCAAAACTAAACTAGATGTTCATATATTCTTTCAGTCAAAATTGATTAATACAAATGTATACATGTGATCGAATTCAAAAAAGGAAAAGAAATATAATATACGATATAAAACTTGAAAAAATTTGATTCGTCACTTTTTAACGTTCACTTATAGCAAAGATTTTCATAGCTTCTAAGAATTTGCCGTAAATTCGTGAAACTTTGCAATTTCTCTTAAAAAAGAAGCTGCCGCGATAGACATTTCTAATTTCTAGTACCATTCGTGTGCCTACTTTTTTTTTTTTGGTTTCTATTAATATTCATCTGAGTTTTTCATTTAGCTCAAAACTGTATCTTGTTTCTCAACGTTGAAACCATAACATTACATTGTCGGGTGGGATCATACTTGTACATCCCTAGTAGAAATGCGTTTGCAACTCTTCCAACGGTTGATCATATCTCAACCTAATCTATATTATATCAGACGTGCTTTTTCGTTCAGACATCCATACTCGTATAATGCCGAGAACAAATGAACATAGAAATGCGAAACTTATATCCTACATTGAAAGAGAATAACATATCATTTTTGATTGAGGGTGTGGGTGCGTCTCATCATTTTCACACAGGTATACAAACGTCTATCCACCCACATCTTCTGTTTAATATGAAAGAAAAACAAACGAGAAAATGGTAATAACAATTAGAAACAAAAAGGGAATTAGTTCTTAATAAAAATATGATAAAATAATTTATCTAAGACACGTACAGATGTGAAGTGTAGAATGGAAATATATCCTATCTTGGTGATTTTCAACGAGATGTAATCTCATTTGTCATGTGTTAGCATCGAATCTCTATACAAGACATAAATTATGCATTGCTTTATTTGTTAAATAACAAAAGTTTCGATAAGAATACAATTTAAACAAGTTTTCTGGTGATAAATTTAGGCGTGTTTCAACAAGGTATTATTTTGAAATCAAAACAAATAAATATTCGTAGATATCTAAAAATATAGATCAACTTTTTAAAACGTAATCTAGCTTTAGTTACCTGTCGTGCTCTTGTTTATAAAGAACATATTCTATTGCTTCTTTTATCAACATATTGAAAGACTTTTCATTTAATAGTGCAAAATAACATATTTAATTCAATACTAAATTGATTTTTATCAATGATAGTATTAGTCAATGAACACACTCATCACAGAAAATAATAGTAACACATAGAAAACAGTACTATTGTTACTCTTTCTTATCATTACAAACCATAGTCTCAACCCTGATCAACACCTGAGAAATACTGAATTTCAAGAATTTAATCAAGATTCTCTCTCGATCCTATATGAAATCCTTACAGGAATGGCAAACATGATACTGTCAAGACTTTATCCAGTTTTACTCAGGACGTGTTTTCAGTCCTGATACGAAAATCCAATCAAGATTAGGAGGTCAACAACAGAAGGACATCAGCTAGAAAGTTTGGGTGTAGATCAAGATAAGGTGAACCAGTACACATACATTCTACACCCAATAGTATTCAACAAGATGTTTTGAATTTTACTACAGTGACTGCATTGAACACAAACTATTGTTATCAATCCATAAGATTCATCGATTGTCAGTATATTACATAGGTCAACACTAAAATTTCCTGCAAATTCATATAACTGTGAAATGTTCTTCAGAAAAAAAACCAGCCGTCGCAATAGACATGTATGTTTTTTATAATGATGAAATAAGATATGTTCGATTCGATGTTGAAAGATCTTATTTGATTAGAAACATATATTGAGATCCAAGTAGAGATGATCTAGATTTACTAATGATATTTTGGAAGTGAACTTTTTTTTTTCTTTCGTTTATACAAACAGCAAAAAAGAATCTACATTATTTATTTACATTTAGCCTTATAATACAATAATACAAAATTATAGTTATGTATTAATTTGAGAAGAAACATGTCGAATTAATCGATCAATTTCCATAACATCAGGATGTTTTATTGGTAATGTTTGTTGAAAAATCTTTGATGCTTTATTATAAAATTTTAATGCTTGTATGAGATTTTTTTTAATTTCATATGTAATACCAATATTTTTATAAGTTGATGCAATTGATGGATGTTGAGAAAAAAGTGATTTTTCATAAATTTCTAATGAATGTTTAAAATAATCTAATGCAATATCATAATGACCAAGACAACGATGAACAGCACCAATATTATTATATGTATCACCTATATCAAAATGTCCATTTGGAAGATGTTTTAAACGAATCATTAAAGTTTTTTCATAACATCTTAATGCATCTTCATATTTTTTTTCATCATCATAAACAATACCCATATTATTAAAACACATTGCAACTTTTAAATCATCTTCACCATAAAGTTCAATCCAAATTTTTAATGCTTTATTGTATGATTGAATAGCTTGTTCTTTATTTCCTTTTTTCCAATGAACTATACCAATACTATTATGACTATAAGCAAGACTAGAATTATTTAATTCTAAGTTTTTCATTTTAATTTCTAATGATTTTAAATGATATACAAGACTTAAATCATAATTTCCTTTATCTAAAGCAATATTTCCAAGTAAATGATAACATTGTGCTTGACTTTGATAATCATGTTGTTGTTGATTAAGAAATTTTTGATAATATTTTTCTGCTTCATTAAATTTTCCCATTTGTCTTAATACACGACCAAATGTAAGAAGGCCAGTTTCTCCATCACCATATTCATTTTTCATATAATCAAATATTGGTTTTAATTTATGATCATAATCACTACATAATATCATATTTATTATCCAAAGATGATTATTATTACTATAATGAATATTATTTATTTGAAATACAGATCCTAATGTAAAAAGTACTTCTTGTTCATCAGTAAAATAACTCTTATTAGCAATATTAGCAAATGGTTTAATACCTTTTATATTTGGATCAGCATCAATTATAATTAATACAGGTTGTAAATTATCTTGAATAATTGAATAATCAAGAAATGATAATGCTTCATGCATATCAACACTTGTTGATAAAAATGAATTTGTTGAAATAAAATGTCCAATAGAATGTTTTAATATATTTAATTCTATGTTTGATATTAATTGACCTCGATAAACACGAATACATTCTTGACATTGATTTAATTCAAGTTGTTTTTGAATATCATATATAAAAAAACGAAATAAATATAATAAATCAATATCTTGTAAACGTAATGCTTGATTTAAAAATTGATAAATAAATGTTTCTCGTGTATACCACCATAAAGCTTGATCTGATGAATATGTTTTTGTAAATTCATAAAGAATATTTAATTCATTTTTATTATTGTTTAATTCTTTTTTACATAAAGTTATTAATTCATTTTTATCATCGACTTTAGTTTTCATACGTAAAAGAACATCCATTAATATTTGTGAATGAAAAAATTGTGCATTTAGTTCAGTTGATGTTTGACCATGTCGATCATTTGTTTTAAATATATTAATAGATAATTTTTGATTTGTTTCATTAATTCTTCGTTTACCACGACGATTATTATCTTTTGAATTACATAATTCACTTAATATTGACATTTTTTTTTTATTTTTGCTTTACCAAATAAGAAAAAGAAAAATCGAACATTGAAATGTTTTTTTTTTTATACATATATATATATATATATGATTCTCTGCTTGTAACGTCATCAAATAATTTCCAATGTACCGAAATACTACTTTTCTTTCTGTGTTTAAAAAGGCGATGACGCATGTGTCTTTTTCAACAGAGTTACTTATAAAAATCAGAATGAAAAAAGAACGTAGGACAATTAATTTCTTAGCAATCACGACATAAATCAACATACACAAGAGTGTATTGTAAACCTGTTTGTCTGGCAATTGAGTTAGTTTTTTTATTCTTAAAAAAAAAAAACCATGTCAACCAACTGTTAACTATACAATAGAATTATTTCAACAAGTAATTGAATTTTTTGTAGTTAGAATTTTTCTTAAATAAAAATATTTTTAAAATGAATAAAAGCAAAATTCTAGAATTTCATTATTAAAAATAAAATTTCTTGTTATTTTGTAATACTATATAAAGATAAGAATACACATGAATCAATAATCCTTTTGATGATTTCGAAATCTATGAATCATTGAATAAAATGAAGATATCAAATGTTTTGTTTTGATAAGAAAAAAAGCTTCGTACATCTCAAGATTCTTATTTGTAAAATGATTTCATTTTTATAATAGATTGATACTATTGAAAATTTCATAATGTTTAACACGAAATTTATTTCTTCCTTTTTTTTTAAGTTTTATAATCAATTGAAAAAATAAATTCGCATATGTCAATAATAAACAAGTCATTTATTTTTGATAAGACGTCAGCTATGCAAAACTGAAGCGAATTTTTTTTTCTGACGTTTTTTCTTTTTATCTAGACTCGATAAAATTCGTCGAGTTATATCTAAAAATGTTTATTTCATCATGAAACTTAGGTCAAAAATAGTGAACTATGTCAACATTTATTTACATTCTTTTTTTTTACTTTACATATGAGATGATTTTTGAAAAATATTGTTTCATTCGAGAGAAAATCGATGTTTTTTTCTATGATGTCAAAACACTATAAACACTATTTCATATTCATAATCATGATAAAAATCTGCGTCAAATAGTATATTCAATACTTAAAGCAAATGTTTGTCAAATTTCACCCTTAGGGAATCCATACAGGTAAGATTATTTGAAAATAATAGCGAAGAAGTTTAAAAACCAAAACTCGACAAACACTTATCTTAAGTATCGAATACAGTTTTCGAAGTAGATTTTTGTACTGATTCTGAATATGAAGTAGTGTTTATAGTGTTTTGCTATTATATCGAAAAAAACAGATTTGCTCAATAGTGAAACAATACAAACAAAAAAAAAAACAAATTTGGATAAATATTAAGCCTACTCCTTAGAGTCCATCCGATCCAAAATTTTTGGATTCAGTCGAACCATGCTTTGATATTTTTACTAGTACATTATACACATTTCTCACAAGGAAAGTCCACTTTGGTGAAATTATCTGTAATTCTTGTGTTTGAATTAGAATATTGTAACATTTTAAAAGAAAAATTTCTTTTTCAATCACTTCTAGATAAAATGTCGAGCTGTTGTAAAAATTATGTTATCATGTGTGTCTGATGACCTAACTTCTATAGAGAAAAAAAGCATCATGTGTTAATACTTCAATACAATAGAATTGTTTCAGGTATATGTTTCATAGTCCATCATATGCATTCTTCAATTATTTATGTCTGCTGTTTCGTGTGCATGCCATCTTATTCGTGCTTTATCTTTGATTTTGATCTGGCAGGCATGTTTCATTAAGAGTCAACATCTACGTCTGAATGAATATAAACGAAAGAATAAAGAGAACCATCTTGAGAAATGTTACAATATTATAATTCAAGCATTATAAGTAGTTTATTTACGTCTCTAGGTCAAAACTTCAAATGTTCGTAATGCAACCAAAGAGGCACATCGAGACAAACTTTTTTAGTGTTTCTCGACTGTTACCAAGTCTTACTTGTGATCAGAATATGAATCCAAAAGCTTTTAACCAGTTGGTGAGGTTTTCGTGCCAGACAAAGCCGTCCGAGTACTAAACAAATCTAACAAATTTTAATAATCTTAATGCTTTTGATGTATTTCAATTTTTTAATATAATTTTCATAACAACCATAACCTCTATCCAACCATGTCAAAAAAAAAAATACGACAGAAAATTTTGCTTGAATTTTGATTTTCAATGAAAGACATTCAAATAAATGGCTATAACATTCGTAATAAATATCAAAGATTTAATTGTTTTTTGATTTTTCTTAGTTCTAATATCGAAGATTTATTTTCATATTTTACAATATAAAAAATAAAATATTTGCAAGATCAACATATTTTTCAAATATATAATCAAATAAAACTTTACAATTACAATCAAGTGCCACAACGATTGCGAAAAAAATCCAGCATGAACATTTTATGAAAGCTAGTCCTCGCAAAAATAAAACGTGATTCATCAATATAACGATGAATAAATATGAATAAAAATACAGCAGAAAAAAAGAAAAGAAATACCATTTAACGCTCTATCAAGTTTTAATATGCTATTCTGTTAACATCATTTACGTACTTACAAATCGATTAACAGCATCTATATGAATATTTTCTCTATTCATATATATATATATAATTGTGCCATTGATAGAATCGAACAGGTAAATTATAAATTTGTGCTTAAATAACATCTGAATTATGATAAAAAATGAAAGTTTACCAATCGGTTTTGATGAATTCGTAAAATTAACAACTATATCTCATTGGATTTATCGTATATGGACAATACTATTTAATATTCTTGGTATTACTGGTAATCTTTTTGCCTTAATTATTTTTATTCGTTGGACAAATCGATTATCTTTATATATTTATTTTAGTTTTTTATGTATAATAAATATTTTAATTTTATTAATTGATATGAATTATCATTTTCTTCTACCATTTTTAATTAATAATAAAATATTAGTAGAAAATTTTCTTCCAAAAGCATGTAAATGTATATTTTTTTTAACATATTTTTTTCGTTATTTATTTATATGGATTATTGTTATGATTAATATTGATCGTTGTTTATATTTAACTGAAAATTCATTTAAAAAAATTTTATGTCAACAATGTACAGCAAAAATAATTTGTTTTATATTAATTTTATTATCATTTTTAGCTAATTGTCATTTTTTTATTTATTTTAATCAACCAATTATTATTAAAATTCCATTAAAAAATACATGTTTCTTAGATGGACTTCTTTGTCATTGTAAATCAATAAATCAAACATATAAATTATTTTGGAAAAATATTTGGCCAATATATAATCTTATTATATTTGCTATTATTCCATTATCTATTATAATTATTTGTTTTATATTAATTATTCGAAATATATATTTAACAAGAAAAAAAGTTTATGGAAAAAAATGTGATTCATATATATCTGTTAAATCACAAAATGATCATTTATATTCAATAACAAAAACATTAATATGTCTTGATTTATTATTTCCTATAACAATATTTCCAATATTATTTTTACAAATCTATATTAATTATAAATCACCTAAAAATTGTTTAAATATTGGAATAATGAATTTAATTTTTTCAATTGGATTTGCAATGATATATTTTAAAAATACATTTGCATTCTTTATATTTTATTTAACAGGTCAAAAATTTCGTCGTACTTTTTCAGAATTAATTCATTGTAGAAAAATATCTGGTTATACGGATGGTCATTGAATAATATTATTTTCTTATTATTATGAATATATAAATAAATAATAAAATTCATAGATTTCTCTATTTCTTCTTATGATTAAATTGAAAACTTCAATTGTCTATTCTGACTAAACAAATCTTCAGGACTAATTCGAGATTCTTTATGGTTCTCTTTCGAAAAGAATAAAATCTTTTCAATTGATACTTACTATGCATGTTGTAATTAAGATTGATCAAAAGAAACAAATTATAACCTGTATTCTGTTTTCTTAGCATAAAATTCACATGTTCGACTATTTATTCTTTAATTCCTATTTTGTTTTTTATAACAGCCAGTCGTCCCTACAATCAATTATTTGTCTAAATCTCTCATATATGAACAGATATAATTTAAATGCTTATTTCTCCTTGATGGTATAATTCTTTGTCCTACACATATTCTCAAAACAAAACAGCTGTTATTTATACATGTTAGCGTCCAATGTCGGATTCAGTCCAATCTCGGATTGGCCTAGGCGAATCGTGGATGCTTACATTGG